TAACCCATTAGAGAAGTAATTACTTTCAATTAAGTGTTTTGTTGTTTTTTTTTCTGTAAATCTCAGCAGCAACTACTAGGTGGCACTGCATGATCATGTGAGAGAGGGCAGTGGGCCACGCAAAGCTGTGCTCGCTCCCCGGAACTTCCTCACAACGCCATAAGGAACAAGTGCTGTTCAGTCCTCTAGCTGAACAGCAGCTATCTACCAAAAGAAAAAAAAAGCTATAAGAAAGCAAAGAAAGCATGGCAATATAACAAGATAGTTGATAGCTCAATTTTTTAAAAAATTAGATTGTTGAAAATTGATTAAATATGTTTTCCTGCTAAATTTACTTGTAGTCTTTACCATTAAATATATAACTATATGACTACCTGCCTCTGTATATCTATATAGACCTACAATTTGGATGATGTACATCATCCAAATAAAATAGTACATGATGTTAAATGGTATTTATTCTTAAAATCTTCTTTCTGCACAAATAAAAACCAAGAAAAGATCTCTTTTGTAAAACAGTTCTTGATCATGTTTCTTGATGTTTAACTGAACATTAAATGTTGCAAGGAAAAAGAAAACTTGTAACAGAACTGCTTAATATTGTTCCTCTGGTGTCTTCCTCAAAGGCAGAACAACCAGGAGTTAATCGGGGGCAGAGAGTCAGCATCATCTCAGTGTTTTTCACTCTAAGCAAATACATTCATATTACTACATTCTCCTACACCATATTGCCAGCTCTCTGGGCAGTCCAAGACATGGACCTGAGGATGGTGATGTCTGAACACCTGTTCCACCAAACGCCTCCCTTTCTAAAGCCCACGTAAACCAATGCACAGACAGACTCCTGGAAGCAAAGACTGGAAGGTGAGGTTCGCCTTTGCAGTCATGCTGCGGAGCAAGTCAAGTCCCTTGTGCTGGATTTCATTCCTTCCCAGTGCACACTGGCTGTGCTCCAGGCTCTGCAAGTGGGCAGGATCTGCCTTCTACCTCCCCTGGCTCCTGCCCTTCTCTAGCTGGCAGTCAGTGGTTCCCCTGGCCATATTGACTGGGAGTTAGACCCTCACCATGTTTCCTACATCTTTAACCAATTCCTGCTCTGCAGAAGCACTGTATCATTGCTAAGTCTTGTCTTTACACAAGGGCATGCCTTCCTTGGTAAGAAAGATGCCCTCCAGGCCAAAAATATGATACTGTGAATCCCAGGTACATGATAAACCTATCTCAGAAACTGGAAACTGTTGTGATATTATCTCAAGCTTAGGATTTGTTGCTTGTTGGCTTTTAGCAAGTTTTGTTTAACATTAAAGGACAATGAGTTACCATTTTCAGGAGCCTTTACCTCACAACAGGCTCTAAGGCTTTGCATCATTTATGTGGGCCACTGACATCAAGAAAGATGGTGGGTTTTTTTCTCCAAGTACAAATATTTTAATTTCAAAAATATTTATTTTTATATATTGCTGTCCTTGAGAATCCACTCACCCAAAAATTAATAGCCTCTAGCCTATATGATCTGTTTCTTTCTACCCTGGCAGTAAAGGATCATCATTTTTTAGCCTCCTTTCCTGTTAAACCCAAATGACAAATAAAAAGACTATAACTTCTCAACTGTCTCACCATCATACCTGGGGTCTTTCACATTCATTTCCAGGTATGAATTGTTTTATATCATTTTAGCAAGAGCAAGAGCAAAGAAGTGGAAGAACAAGAACTGAGGCCTGGGGAGAGAGAGTAACTTCAGCATATACAAAAAGGGATCAGAAGACATACAAAAATGATCAGAGAAGGAGCCTAGGAAGGGAAAACTGAGGAGCAGGAAGAGAAATATGGTGATTTTTTAAAAGCTTCTATCAGTTTGGTGTTATGCTGTGATGTTTTCCCAATGCTCCACTGTCTGGAATTGGATGGTTATACAAATTTCATATATATGTGGTTTAGGGAAGAAAAACTTGATTCCAAATCTATGAAGTATATTTGAATAATAGTAATTATTCTAAATAAATTTCTAGTTTAGCCATATTTATTTATTTAGATGTAGAAGAAAAGAATGTAACAATGGACAGTAAAGCAGACTCTTATAACCTTTCCTAAGTGCTGTCCTGCTGACGATGTAGGAGCAGCTAAACAAGACAACAGCCAGCCACCTGGATAATAGAAGAAGAAGAAGAAAATGTTAAAGCAAAAATATTGTGGTCCTGAGCAAGCCAGAGATAAGATTAGCGTGTGTGTGAAAAGAATCACAAGGTCAAGCTGGAAAGCTACTTGAAGCATGATTGTTCTTTGTGGCTGAAGGCAGCCACGGGAGTGTCTGTGTGGTATGTGTGCAGATAAATAACACCTCGCCTGGCTTGATAGCTCGGACTCTTGTACTGTATATAAATGTAGAAATAAAGTTACAAGAGAATTCTTCCTGGACAAAGTCTGTCTCCCATGGATTCATTCGCCGCAAAGGGTTCTGAGTGAGGGATTTTCGCCGCATGACATCACTGGCAATACTAACAGCGAGATTGATTCCCAATTTCAGCATCAGATTTTTAATTTGGTAGCTAAGCCTAGCTCCACTTAATTAGTTTGCTGTATCAATAAATGTGACTGACAACCCATGCCTCTGGATTGTTTATTTTTCCAATAAGCTATTTTGCTAATTATGCTATTTCCTATGCAGGAAAGCCTAACAAATGTGTGTGAAAACAAACCAAAGAGGTATGCTTATTATGATCAAAAAATGCACAAACCTCACAAATTTTTTCACAGATTAACTAATTACTTATGAAACTCTAGCTGGTAGAGTCATAACCAGTGGTTCAGCCAACCATCCACATGCTTGCCTTTGTACAAATACCTAAACCTTATTCAATGAAAAGGTAAGTGTAAGAGTTGATAATATATATTCTCATATCGGGACCATCACCCTTTTTCTCATGGCTTAGTTTGTAATATTTTTAGTTAACTGATACAAAAATTTACTTTGTGCAGGTCCAAAAGTCTGCTATATGTGCACTCATTTATATCACAATCTGAGACAAAAATATGAAATTATTAAATTATTAGCACAGTTTTATTTGTAGAAATTAATCTGGGAAAAGTTGAATAAATTGCAGCACTGCTTTTAATCAAAACCAAGTATTTATCAGTACCGAAATATAAACATTTTCCTTGTGATTAATCTCGATTTATGTTCTAATTACTGTGCTGTTCCACAGTTGTCTCCTGTCTTCATTACTCTAACTTCATCCAGCTCCCTATCTAGGCAGCACTTCCCTGTTTCCCTGTGAGTTTACAGAACCTCGCCAAGCATACCTCTAGCGCTGCAGAACCCACACCAGATGCTTTTGTGTATGAGACAAGCTTTTATCAGCCCTGTGAAGCCAGACCAGCCTAAGGTAAGTTCTGCAGTGATGATTTAAAAAACTTTGTATGCATGGGGAAAACTGGTGTTGCTCATCAGTGTGAATGCCAAAAGGCTGGGGATCATACAGATGTCATTCTACTTGGCTTGCCAGCCTACAGTGAATAGCTCTAAACTGTGAAGCCATGTTACATCTGTTTTGCCTAAAATGAGTCCAGAACAATTTAGTACCAGACTTCACAGGTTTGTATTTCACTATACGGAAAGAACAGAGAGGATCTGCTACCAGCGAGGAGGTGAAAAATCTTCAGCTATGCCAGCAAGACTGCCAATCTTTTTGGAAGGTACTCAACTGCTCCCTCCTGCTTGAAAGCATGTGGGAGCACTTCTTTTAGCAATATGCTGAGTCTTGTTAGCCAGGCTAAGTCCTGATACCCCACCAGTCACAGTGAGCACAGGGCTGATCCTGGGCTGGGGTAAAGCTCCTTCTGCCACTGCCTAAAGCAGCCTGCCGGGACACTTGTTTCAGGGGAGCCAGGCTGATGATCATGCTCCGAATGAATGCCTGCCACTCCAGGCCTTTCCTGCCATGTGATGCAAGAAGTAAGGAGAACAAAAAAAAGCTTTGCCATATTCTTTCTACCTAATCTCTTTTTGTCTCCTATTCTAGTTTCTTTCTTGCCTGCTTATCTTAATTTTCACCTTATTTGATTCCTGTTCTGTTCTCTGCCACAATATTCATCCATCTTTGTCCAAATGTAAGATATTGGTATGCTCAGTTTCACCTGCTCACTTAAGGTTAATAACAATAATAAACAGATAATAATAATAAACAGTAATAATAATAAACAGAGTTTAACCTGATGTCTGTGTACCATGTAATTTGTTATGCTAATAGCCATTTAGCAGAAAAGAGTCTTTCAAATTCTGCTCTCCAGGGAGCTTTTCTTTTTCTGTTTTCCCATATTTTTCAGTCTCTATTGTTTTCTGGTTCCTCCCTGTAGAATCCTACTACAGCCAACAGAGACAGCTACATGAAAATCCCTTGCTGACAGTAGTAATTCTGACGCAGGCACTGGGACACCTGTGGCAGAGCCAGGAGGGCTGGTAAGGAGTCACAGGTGCAGTTTCACACCCCTGCAGACATGGTAATTTCTACTGATGATCTAACAAAAGAGGAAGAAGGAGGTCTGACTTTCAGTGCTTAAACAAAATATGTAGGCAAAGCATCTTAAAACTTAAAGTTTATTAACTGGATTCTTCATCCTGAAATCCATAGGAAAAAATCTCTCTCTCTACATTTGGAATTGTGGGGTTTTTTTAAAGGAAAAACTAAGTGACGTAACTTTTTTTTCCTCTCATATTCACCAATAAGTTCTTAATTGTTATCTGCTTGACAGTGTACATGCATCATTCTGGAAAAAAAAAATCTTTCTTTCTCCTCTTGTAAAGAAGCATTATCTAAATGCTTCTTGGCAGTTGATGATAAGAGCAGAGCCTGTAATATATTTCTCCAATTAATTTCAGGCAGGGAGCCAGATGTTACTTCTATTCAGTTTGCCAAACCTATCGGAGTGCTTAGATTCTGACTATCTCTTTTTTTTCTGACCCACTACAGAGGCGGAAGGAGTCAGCATTAAGTCTTGCCATAAGCACTTGATTGAATACAAGGTATAAGAGAAACTAGAGCCTCCATTCTGATTCTTCTTAAGGTAAGTTTTGCTGTCATTTTAGTGGATTCCTCAGGCTTCTACTGGGTCTTAAGATACTGTCTCAAGAAATGTATCCTTATATATTCATTAAATTCAGAATTGTTTAAATGTTTGGGGGGTTATTTTTATATTTTTATACTTTTTAGACAGCATTATCCTGTACACCATAAAGATATCTTGCAAGAAGCCTTCTGAAAACAGAAGTAATTATGTTTAGGATTTTTTAAAAATATTGATTATACAGCTAATGTTTTGCATCTTAAGGGTAGGAACCATTCAACGAAATGTAACTTCAAACTAAACTTATTTCAAACTAAAACACAGGAAGGTTGCCAAGTTCAGGAACAGGAATATTATGGAAAAACTTCAATCATGCATATATCTTAAAATATTCAGAGTTTGCTGTGGAGGGAGGAAAATTTTCAAGAGAAAATTTGGAGGTTTTTTTGTTTGTTTGTTTGTTTTTTAAACAAGGAACTTAGCACTGAATGAGGAAAAATAACTGAATAGGGAGGAGGTATCATATAAAGTATGCAAACTGTACACCAAAACAACGTGCTTTTGTCAGTAGCAAACTTCAGATTGGTGGGTTGGTTTGAAAAGTAATGTGAGAAAATCTGTCACAGCACTTGTAGCCTCAGCTTTAGGCAGGATATGTATTTGTAACAAATGTTAGAGAACATAACTCAATGTGACCACTGGCACATAGGGTCTCCATCTCCTACTTGAGGAACACTTAAAAGGACATGGTTGCATCTACAGCCAAATCTTCTTCTCTTTGTTCTTAAGCAGCGTCTGTCTTATTTAGTGAAACTGGCACTACCAAGCAGCTACAGCTCAAGACCTTTCTGAGAAGTGGAGTTTGAGGACCACCTGGGGCCCCAAAACAGGGATACAGCTTTAGTTAGGGCAGTGAGCTTTTTTGTAAGGATCGTGGTCTTCAGTGACTTGAACACAAGCCTTGGGCTCAAGGTACTTCTGTTCCTTAATTGTTGGACAGTTTTGGAAAAAGTACAGTGTCTGTCCATGCTTTCATGCTTGCAAAAGGGACAAAACAATACCAGGTGACAAGTTCAGCTGTGTGAATTTCCCAGAATCTGCTCTGAAATGATGACAGACACTAGAATTAAGTTTCAATTTGAACTGTGTAACACTTTCTCGATCCTTGAAATTGTTGGAAAGCAACTCTGTGGTTTGCTATAAACAGTAACAGCTTTATTTTCTTAATTATCAATCTAGCTTTTATCTTCTTTCTCTCTCGTCACAGAGATTCTTCTCCTTTAGAAGCTGCACGATAGACCCAGTAGATGCAGTGTTAAAACTGAGAGTATTTATTCACTGACTTTATTCACTGACTGCACCTAATTTCTGAAGTAATAAAGTACAGCCCATATACTGAGATTATGATACTCCTCAGAATCCCCTGCCTGTTGTTTCTTCCTGCAGCTGACATCAGCTAGTAGAGCAATGAATTGCTGTTTCAGGCTGAGAGCAAGAATTGCACATTTTCCAGTAGTATAGTTATTGTAGACACATTCTATACTATTTCTGTCAATTTATGCTGTCTGATAGGACTCTTCTGGGAATTCTGTCTCTGCCTTTGAAACACAGAATATGATGTGAAGACCAAGCTGATACTCTAATTTCTTTATGACTCCCTGTCCCCATAAAATTTGTGCTATCTCTGTAAGGCTACAATAAAATTTAATAATATCCATCCAGTGTTCTGAGGATGCTTTATATCACATAAAAAAACCTGCTTATACAAAATAACTGCCTTAATTTACTCTGCAGGAACTCTGATGAAGCAGTATGTTCAGCAGTAGTTCAGTAAACAGGTTTGAAATAATGACCAGAAAGTAAAATAAAGCCTAAAAACTAAAGACAAATTTATAGAGTTACGACTTAATTATTCATCTGACCAAATATCCACCAAAAAAAAAAAAAAAAAGGATATTAGGAGATTTTTCTCTTCCTTTCCCTGTATGCATAAAGTAAGATACTTCCAAGTAGTAATAATGGAAGTTCAGACCTTCATCTTGCTCCATAATTTGTCTTTTTCCTGTGTCCTTTGAGTGCCTCCACTGAGGTGTGGTGCTGTGCTGAACTTTCAAACAAAGGGAAGTGTACCTACTGAACACATTTCATTACATTAAAACTATGCTGTTAGTTGCTTTGAATTCCTAAAACATCAGAGTGATGTGCTCTGAGTTACAATTCTTAAGTTTCATATGTGGCTTTCAGTCTTAAAGCCCTGTTTTAATAATGGGACTATGATTAAAACTTGGTGGGCACTTGTTACAGCTAAATACCCTGTGATCCTTCAAAATCTAATGTAACTTTTTATTTCCAGAGTATGGAGGGCCATTGGCCCTCTCTCCTCTGAGAAGACTGTGTTACATAAAGAAAGAAGAGTTTTGACTTCTTAATATGGAGAACCTTTGCAAGATTCTTCACAAAAGCTGCTGTACCTGGTGACTCAGCTTCCAACAAATAACATTTGTAGCTTATCTTCAACAGCCTGTGGGGGAAAAAGGCAGCTAGTGTCATTTTATATCACTCTAAATGCTGCTTTGGACAGGGAAAAAAAAAATCCTTGTATTGCTGCCCTAGGTATGGTTTTTGTCAGGGCAACAATTTTAATGCATACTACCTTTTACGGATACTTCACTAAAATAAGATTTCTATTTGTGTCCTGCACAAAAGTAAACAAACAGACAGAAAAACCACACAAAAAAAATTCCCATGTTCTCTGGCTTTTCCATCACTCTGATTTTCTAGACTGTGCTACTAAATATGGCAACTTCACTGTTTTGTTGTTGTTGGTTTTTCTTTTCCCTGACAGGTAGGAAAAAACAAAATCCATTTTTCCATCTTGACTGTCTGGAACATTGGAAGACATTGTAGTAAAACACCTCCATACACATGCTTTCCTTTTAGGTCATTAGTTTTTATCAACCTTGTCTTAACATTAAGATAGAATGATTTGATAATTGGAGGAAAACGGGTCCAGGAGCAATTTCTCTGACTTGTGCCAGTGGTTAAATTAGATCATGTAGTGGTAAAGATGCAAAATCCACCCACGTGTGTGACTCACTAAACGATCAGTGCACATCCCTCTGTGGAGGATTGAAACCAGGATCATAGGTTCAGGGAATCCCACACACAGTCTGATAACTGAAGGGGAGAGAGCTCTGTAGGCTGCTGAGTTGTAGCATATTCAGTATCTGTTTAAGTTGCTGGGATGATAGCTCTACAGACAAAATGAAATCAAAAGGAAGTTTTCCCATTTGATTTCTAAAGCAATCTTGCCATGAATCGTGGAGGAGTTTCTTTGGTTTGACTTGGGTTTTTTTGCAGGGCAGATGGTGTCTGGATGTTTTTAAACAAAATGTATTTTCTTCTTCTCTGACTGCCCTGTAGCTTCTTGTATTGCTTGCTCTATCTTCCTTCTTCTGAACATCTTTACATCATTCACTACTTCATGAGCTGTCTCCGTGAAATAGTCTCATATGAGTCTTCATAATAACCTTGCTAACCCACTCTGGCAAAACCCACTCTGGCAGGATAAATATCCCTCTTTTGGACTGTGGTGTTTTCAGATGGCCATGATTTTTTTTGATCTGTCTAATTCAGTGCCTTAATAATGATAATGCTGTCAATATGTGGGAGGAGAAAATAGTGAGCTACCTAATATCCTATAGGCCTAGTCCTTTAAATCTTAGACTGGGGAAGAAATCTCATGAAGCAGGAATACTATAAAGTTCACATGGCTGTGTTTGAAGGTCGCTGAAATTCTTCCTCCTGGAGTATGGAAATTTCACACCTTTTGGATAAAACTATATATTATTTTAGAGAAACACTTTACCTGTACTCTAGGCTGAAAATATGAGAAATAGTAATATCTCATGCTTTCAAACTAAATGAAAAAATTGTTCTAGTCACTGCCTCATTATGTTTAACTTTCGGGATGTGTATACAGGGTCATTCCCAAGAATTGGGAATCTTTCAAGAGAATTTTCAAAACAAATTAAGAGATTATATCTACTCTCACTTACTTGCAGGCATCAAACTCGTTTGCCTATGGATGCTACACCAAATGGATATTAGCTTTTAACTGAAAGAGTGCCTTCTGCATACCCTAGCCATTTCTTTGGAACACAAGCACTGACTGTGTAGCTCATTCTCATTCAGTCTAACATACTTATGGAAGGGACAGTTTTCTGGCATTAATTAATCTTGGAGGGACGTGATCACTGATTTAGATTACCATTAGGTTCTGAACAAAAAAACCCCAATTAAGTAATTTATGAAGGGATGCTCTTTGCTTCTGTCCTTGATTGCTCATACAAACATACAAAATCAGCTCATTTCTGACAAATGTTGGATGGACTTAGTACAGTGGTACGATAAAGTTGATCTGCACATAGTTAGGAAGTCTGACAGCCACAAAATATGTATAGGTATTTCCCGCAAAACTTTCACTAGGCAGCAGGAATTTACTAGCTGTGTTAGAACTGCTGGTCTACACCACTGCACACTTATCAATTTATTTTCTGTCCTGTACATAGCACAGAAACTTGGTTTGCCAGTCATTTGGTTACCTCTTTGGCAAAGGGGCAAGAGTTGTGGAAACCATGCTAATGGGAAAAGAGGAAACATATAACTTCCTTTTCCCCCTCCCTCTGTTTCTCCTTAGAAAAATCCCAATATTCTGCTCCCATAACCAAGCAAAGATTATAAAGGAACAATATGTTCCTTGTGTATTGCTTTAATCTGTCTACATTTAGCTGGCTTTAAGTTACTCCTCTCTCACTGATCTTGAAAGGCAAAAGATTTTAACACTTCTGAATGCTCTTTATAGGCTTCACGAGGTCTTTGATTTTTGTGGTCCCTTTAAAAGACCAATGAGTGTAGAAAGGAAGTATCTCAGGTGGGAGGAAGGCTTAAAATAATCCATGTAACTTCCGTTTACAGAGAGAGCAGTAAGAGTCTGTCAG